TTCTTTTTACACTTTATACAGCAGTTATCTAAATTTCTGTTCTTTTTATTAAGAAGATACTCATTAAGTTTTTTGAGTTTTGTTTCAGCATTGTCAACTCTTAGAATTAGAGTCTAGCTTTTCCCCAGATTGTTGATATTGTTCTAGCTGTAGAATAAATACTCTTTTTCTTTTAAGTGATGGAAAAGAAGCTTCTGCAGGGCATTTTCCTATAAAGATGAGCATTGGACAGTGTTATTGAGTAGTTTATCATAAATTACACCATTATAAATTATTTAATAAATTAACCATAATTAAGCCATAGATGGTTACAATGATATTAGTGGATACATTATTATTAGTTTAATTAAATAATATCTGATTGGAAACATAAAACTATATTTAAATAGTTATAAACAATACCAACTATATATTTGAATATAAAATTATTAACTTCGGATTATACTAATTTAACAAAACTATAATATAAAATTATTTACTTTTTCTGTCAATGTGTTGTGTTTAGCAAACAACAAAATGGCTGGCAGATAGTTGAATTATAATTAGTCCCTGCAGGGGCTTGCATTAGCAATTGCAGAAGCTAATCTGCACAAAAGTCACTGTGTGCAAAAAATGCTTGTTAAAATGCATTTTTATTTAAATCACATGATTTTTTTAGGTAACATGTATTTCAGAGTTATTCCTAATATCAATGAACAAATAATGAGCATATTTGAGGAAGTATGCATTAAGTACATAAATGCTCATATTATGTTTTTCATAAATATCCTTTAAATCTTTTCTCTGAGTTAAGGCAATTTTTCAGTTAGAACCTTGCCACAGTCTGCTTACACTCGTTTTCTTTTTTTTTCTTTTATTGCTTTTATTTTTTTTCTTTTATAGCTGTTAGAGTCTTTAGAGGGAGTTGGCAACACTTCCAAAATAGCAGCTTGGGGTTCATAATTAGAAGAGTCATTTTCTTTTGAACACAATGAGGATTGTCATTACCTTTTGAATTTGAGGGAGTTAGCACAACACTTCCAAAATAGCAGCTTAGGGTTCACAATTAGAGGAGTTCTTTTGAACACAAGGATTGTCATCTTTTAAATTTTGAATTGATATTGAAGTATTGTCACCATCGCTTGTTGTTGGATCTTGCTTTTGATGGATCTAATGGACCTGACCTGAAGACCTGAAGCTCTAAAATCAGATTCTAAACTTTTTCTGTTTACTTTCAGCCAAGTTAGTCTTGGTAAATTTAGAAAAATAGCCATGTTGACCATTATAACAATTCCCTGCTTACTAGTCAATCAAATAGTTATGAAATGTAAAAATAAAATTAAAACTTTTTTTTGAATATTTAAATTAAAATTTTTTTTATTAAATTATCTTTAAAAAGTGTACCTCCCTAAGGCTCCAGAGAAAATAAGGCTAAAAGAAATTTTTATTAAATTTTTTTAAATAAGTTTACCTCACAAGACCACTACAATTTAGGTTTTTTTTTTCTTTTATATATATATATATATATATATATATATATATATATATATATATATATATATATATATATATATATATATACAGTTTCAATTAAAATTCCTTTTCAACCCATTGTTTAACATTTTTAACATTAAAATTGTTAAACAAAACAAATATTTTGAAAAACAGGTTGAGCGCAATACTTCCAGAAGTGTGGGTAGAGTTGTGTGGGTAAGTTTGACACCAGAGATGTGTGGTAGATTTTAAACATATGATATTAGTTTTAAGAAAGATTTAACAGATTTTTCTTTGATTATTATCCTTCACTTGCATTTCATTATATACAATTTACAAACGTTTTTCTCTCTGTTGAGAGAAAAACTGTTTGGCAAGTTTTGCTGTTTTTGTCATTGCTTTTAATTTTAGCTAGAGTTTGTTTGTTTTTATCAGTGTTCTGATAAAATGCTGACATTCATCAATCCAAATGAATAAATTTTTCATTGCAAATACTTAGAAATTTCAAATTACAAAATTTAATTTGTGGTTGGGAATCAATCAAAAATCATTTTTTTAAATTGTTTTTGATTTTAAATGATATTGTTATAAAAACGACAGATTTCCATTTTTTTTTTAATGTTTATATGGATAACATGTTAAAATTTTATTGTTTATATGGATAACATGTTTTTTTAATGTTTTAGTGTGTTTAGATTTTAAGCTTAAATACTTTCATTTAATTTCTTAAGATCTAAATTAAAAAATTTACTATTTATTTTTTGTTTTTAATTTACGAGTTTTAAAATTTTATTATTATTTCTGTTAATTTAGCGAGGTGACATAAGGTGACATATAATGAGGTGACTTAATGTGACATTTGTGAGGTGACTTAGTGTGACAT